TTTTTTTTTTTTTTTTTTTTTTACCAAGAACGCATATATAAAATGCTGAAAATATGTTGAGTTTTCAGATTGTCAAAGTTTTTATTTTAATATGTGAAAAATCCATATTACAATATTAACACTTATAATAAGTCATCTTGGTTTGTACAAGAAAAGAAAATATTTATGTTACTTTTTTTTTTTTAGATGGACCAAATACAGGAAAAGGTGCAGGTGGTGGAGCTGCAGATGATGGCAAATCAAAAACATGTATGATTTTGTAATTCTCTTTAATGACACTAAAATGGCTTTTGATACAGACTAAGGACATCTAGAAAGAACTTCAACAATTCTTAGTGGATTTCTGTACAGTACAGAGTAGCGTAGATTAAGCAATCCCCTTAAACATCTGCCATCTGTTGGGTGTCAATTTGGAGTATCCATTGAAAACTCAGTATCCATTGAAAACTAATAACCCAGAAGGCAAAATGGAAAAGAAAAATATGAGTTATGGTGCAAACCTAGTTATTATGTGTTAATTTTCTGGCATTATTTCTTGTCATTCATAACTTCATACATAGTATTTTTATTAAAAAGTATGAATACTAAAAATTGTAAAAACTATGCTTTTTACAATAATTTATGCTGTGTGTGATAATTCAGTCATTTCAGTCCAGATTAAAGTTGTGCAGACTATAAACCAAAAACCAGTTTTCATAACTGATAGGACTAGACTTTTAAACAATGTTTCTTTCATTTACAATATATGAGATACTCTTTTTCGGCACTCTCAATATCAGGTGCAATAGTAGAGTTGTCATTTTCATTATTTGGGAAGACCTAGACCAGTGATTCTCTACCTTTTAGGGCCAGGACAACCCTCCACAACTTTTTTGAATGTGGTGATACCTCTGGTAGAGAACCACTGTTGTGCTGCCTCAGTGCTTCTCAATTGGGTAATGCTGCCTCCAGATAAAGCTGCATGCCTTCTGCATAGTAAGACCAGGGAAGGCTGTGACACATGCGCACTCTCCTGATTTATTAGGGTTCTGATATGCCTAAAGCAGGCTGGAGAGCTGGCTCATGCTTCTCTGACAGACCTTGCACAGTGTCTCCTGGAAACAGAAGCATGCAGGGCAGATAGAAGTGTCCCAGAGACTTTCCCAGAGAAGTATGGGGGTAGAAGGGTGAATCAGGAAGGGCTGCAACACAAACCAGCTCTCCTGCCTACTTTGTAGTCATCAGAGAATCCTAATGCAAGAGGAGCATGCGCACATGCCGCAGCCCTGTGCACAGGCTGGTTTTTCCTGGCCTTTGTGGCACCTCAGTTGAAAAGTCACTGAAGTAGACACTAACACTCCTCGTGGGCCTACAAAAAATTCCACCTGTGGTGTTCACTTTGGGTGCCTATATATGTGCAGTGAGGCTGCTCTGATGCGCTGTAATTGCAGCGTGTTAGATTAATTGAGTTTACTGGAATGTGGTAAATTACTGGATTCTAGCAGACCCCAACGTCTTGTGTATCAGCATACCTGCGCTGAAAAATGCTGGTGGGGGCGCTCTAACTAAAGCTCAAATGCCCTCATTGCCATTTTTCAGTGCAGGGACAGTGATACAAGAGACACTTCTGGCATTTTAATTAGAGCAGCTCTCCGAGCCTCTCTAATTAAAGCTCCCCCCCACACACACACACTCCCAGAGCTCGTGTATAAATGTCCATTCTTTCTAAAGCTACCAAAGAAATTGTAAGTTACAGAAATGGCTCTCTCAATCATCTTTTCTCCACAGACCAATTATTCTGTCTCAGGCCCATGAACTAGGTATCTGTTAAAAGCAAACCTCTTTCTCAATGTAAAACCACAATGCAGGCAACAAGAATTATAATGTTTTAATTTAGAATGAGTAATACATCAAGGAATCTAGACCAGGATGTCAGAAGTAGAGGTATACATTCAAATGTAATGTAACAAGTGTACAAAATGCTAATACAACTTTTTCTGAACAGAACAAACAAGCAGAATTATGTTACTACAACCCAACAAAAGATATGCCAATTGAAATAAAGGGAAAAAACCTCTTCCTGTATTTGCCCCTAGCCAAGGCCTGAAAAACAGACTGTACTAATGGTTTATTCCAAAGAAAGAAACTAAAGAATGGCAGAGGACTTGCTCCACAGCCACTATACAAGGTCTTGGGCTGCAGTACACTCTGAGGAATCTGCTCTTTCCCTTCATGGGGAAAAGAGAATGGCCAGCATTATTAATGAACTGAATACATGTATATTACTGGACTGAGCCCTAAACCTAAACACAGAGGTGTAAAGAGTAGTTCTTAAATGCACTGAAGTTACCCACTTTATGTGCAGGCTCCTCCAAATCCAAACACCCTTCCTTTTCCCTACAATACAGAAATATATATGTCCTACTGAATGACAGGCCCTAACACCTCCTAAGGAGGGTAAAAGCTTTTGCTCTACCACAAATGTTTTAATTGTATGTTAAATTTTCCTCCAGAGTACAGAAGGAAAGAAACAATTCAGAATTCTTTCATCAATCCTGATCTGCAATAACTGATGAAGACCCCATTATTAAACTTGTTCCATTTATTTTTATATGTCTATTCATTAACAACTTTTATCTCAATATGCACAGGTAGCACCCATATTTTTCTGTATGCACACCATGGTGCTCTATATCTCCCTCCACTCTGATCTCTCCCATCACACTCTAGGACTCACTTAAGAAGAGGTAACTGAAGAATGTTCTAATATAAACTATGTATAAATACTGTACAACTATAACAAGAAATAAAACGTTCTTCCATAAAATTTCCTGTTTGTTATATCCCCACTTATATAGGTCAAATATAGCAAATGTGCCATGAAACTCACTATTATATATAATTTTCCCCATACTAAATGCAAATATAAGGAGGATATTCCAAGGTTATTTTTATCAATTACATTTTAAATTTAAATTGTGTTCAATAAAAATGTATTTAATATGTATACTATATACATGCCAACTATATTTGCAGTAGCAAATACAGCAACAGACTCTATCAAAGCTCCTATAGACAAGTTACAGAGTTGTAATCTGATTGCTGAAGACTGGATTTGGCTCTCTCAGCCAGGCTTGCAAGATAAGAGAATTAACCTTTAAATCCATCTTCTTTCCAAAAAAAGTCTTTGCATTCACAAGGCTACCTGCTATTTGTTATTAAAGAACACCTTAAATCTATCTGTCTACTGTCATCTATTATGTATGCATGAACTATTAAAAATGTAATTATGTTAAGTAATATTAAATGTAAATAGATATATGTAGATATCCATACAAATTGTGCACATATATAATAATGTTCACAGTTATATTACAGCCACGTCTACAACTCTGTTTTCTATATCGAGTAGTTTGTCACATTGACTGTGTCAATTCGTACCTAAAAATACAGATCCATTAATTCTCCCCACATTGCTTAAAATTAAAATTTCATTAAATGAACACAAATTGCACATATCTGAAGTAACGTTCCTTTATAAATGAGCTGTCATTGTAATTATTTTTGTGCAAACTGTTTCTCTGGAAACAGGATAAAATTAGTTTAAAGATATACTGCACTTGAATAGGAAAGAACAGTAAGATTCTCAACTGCATGTTCTCATCTTGTGTGCTCAGGATTATGTTTTAAGGCAAGATAACCATTTCACTGTGAAGGAGATCAGAAATTAAAGATGCTAAAAAGTATGCTTTTCTTAGTTGTAACCTATGTATTTTACTTGTTATAACAAATATTATAAACTGAAAATTTCAACTAACAATCAGCATGAAGAACAGAGTGACTACAGGGATTACTAAACATTAATTTGAAAGTAATCTTTAAAATAGAGGTAACAATGGGATAAATTTTATAAAACAAATAAAAAAAGAAACTACATTTTACTTTTAGGAAGAAAAAAAAACTTACTTTATCCAAACAACATGTGTTCTATAGAATTTGAAACTTTTCTAACACTATTTCCAAAACAGTTACACAAACACACTTGAATATTCAAGGTTGCATGATAGAAGCATCTCACCCCTCCCAGCTCCCTGACATCCAGTGATGGCCTGCCCACCTGCTACGTGCCATCCTAGTGCTGGCACCATGCACCTTCCTCATGGATCCTCATCCACCTTGCTGGACCCGGGCAGGGACACTGACAACAGGCTCCAGGGCCACCGTCACCCTCCTGGATCTCCAGCCCCACCACCTCTGGCCACCAGGTAGGAGCAGGGGCTCAGGCAGGCTGCCTATGCTGCTATATACAACACAGCTGTGGCCTGGGTCGTGGGGTGCAAGCATGTCCATCAGCTGTCACATAAAAAGTATGGACTTACAGGCACTCCCCAACCAACAATTGTGGTTGGTGATGGCAACCCACTGTCCCCACAAGGCCTCGACCTTTATGTGGCACTACGGCACCAACTGGTTGTGCCTGCACTCTCACATCTGGCCTGACAGCCCCTCATAGACATGAGCGTTGGAGACCCACTTGAAGTGGCATTGCTTCTCCAACTCTTCTCAGTACCATGAGGTCACCAGTCTCCTTCTGCAACCAGCTGGGGCCCTGGGTGGTGCACATGGACGTCAGTGAAGACGTCGCCATCAGGGCTCCTGTACCAGCTTGCTGGGCCTTCAAGCAGCTGCCCTTTTACTGCTGGTGCTGGGCAGCGGCCTGCAGCACCCAACAGAGGGGCCCAAGCATGGGACTGACAGCTGCATGGCTGAGGCAATACCCTGTAGCACCTGCAGGCTCCAGGCTGGCTACTGGGTTTGGGCTACAGGCAGATGGAGCTGGCCCCAGCAGTCAGAAGCTGCCTGCAGCTGAGCCTGGGTGCTGGCAGGTCTGGCTGGAGCCTGCAGCAGCCTGCAGGCCTGGACAACACAGGCCTGGCAGGTGCATGGCACTGCAGTGCCAGGCAGCAGCGCCAGAGTGCAGACAGGCTGGTGCAGGTAACCTGTGGCCTCCCCAGGAAGTCACAGGACCTGGAGTTGCCTAGGCTGCCTGCTGGTGTGCCCCAAGGCTCAAAATGCCTGCAGGCTTTTAAAGGCCTGAGGCAGGAGCTGCCATAGAGGCAGCCCAGCCCTGGGGCAGGAGAGGCTCAGAGCCCAGAGCCCTGGGGCTAGCCTTAGGCCAGCTCCCTGGTGGCAGGACTGACCTGGAAACAAATGTGTTCCCGGGTCATGTCTACACATGCATTACTGGGCAGTAAATAACTGCAAGTAAATTTGATACCTGCATTTGTAGGTATCAAATGTACTTACAATTAGGGGTTTTTACTGTGCAGTAAGCGTGTGCACGTATAGATGTGTGCATGTACTGTGCATTAAATTACACTACTGCACAGTTCAGCATCTCGTGTAGATGTGCCCTCTGGTAAGGAAACCCAGTTGAACAGAAATTACATTTCCTTCTTCATGAACATATAAAGGTATCATTTTCAATCGTTTAAGCTCCAGTCCTGCAACTGGCTATACCCGAGCACACCCCAGAGTGCTCTACATAAATGAAAGTGTGCATCCATGCACAGTGAGTTACAAAGCACAGCCTTTAATGGTACTTCAGAAAAACCCAAAAAATATTTGGAATCTTAAGTCTGTCTTGTTACCCATACTAGAATAAGAAAATTCAAGGAGAAATCAACCTAGGGTTCCGCAGCAAGTTTCAGAGAAACAAGTCTTGAAAGTACTCATCAAATTCTTCCTCCCTATAAGAAAAAGGAAAATAAGATCTGTCAAACAATGTAGTACTTTAATTTGTAACCACACAGCATCTAACTCCTTTTACTGCAAAAATTAAAAATATGTGGTTATAAGATGAACCATACATACGAGGTATACTTAGTTCCCTATTTCCCTTTCTGTGAAATCAAAGCAGTGTTTTTGCAATTAATCACTGCTGAGTTAAGTACATTATATGATATTACTCCAGGGGTGGGCAAACTCCACCAGGCCATTCTATCCAGCCCGTGGAGCCTCTCCAAAAGACAATTATTACTGGCCCACAATTGCCCCTCTGAAAACTGGTGGCAGGAGCAGGCTTCCAGAGGTTGTACACTGCTGGACCAGGCTGGCTCTGTGCCTCCACTTCTGGCAGCCATGCACCTTTAAGCCAAGCTGGATCTGTGCCAGCACATGGGGCTCCCAGCACTTCAGCCAGGAGCTGCACGCCATTGTGCCAGACTGGGATGGCTCTGTGCTTCCATGTGCAGCTACCTGCTAGTGTTCTGGGAGCCCCACATGGAGGCATGGAGCTGGCCCAGCCTGAGGGGACGCAACTCCCTGCAGCTTCTGGCATTCCAGCGGGGAGCTGCACACAACTGAGCTGGGCTGGGTTGGCTCTGGGCTGCCACATGTAGCTCCCACAACTCAGATGGGGATGTGTGCCGCCAAGGGACTCCACCCATTGTGAGCCATGAGCACCCCAAGGGCCTGCTGCCTGCTGCCGCTGGTGGCAGGGGCTGTGTCCCATTGGGAGAAGGGTGGCAGAGCATGTGTTGGGGCCCCACACGTACACTCCACCATACCCACACTGACCGCCCACACAAACTCCACCCCCCCATCTACCCACACCTGCTAAACAAACCCCACGCATTCCTCACACCTTCACAAACCCCCATGCCCCCCACAAACCTCACCCCACCTCCCTAACCACACCCTGCATACAATATACAAAAGAAAGACTTTATTTTGAGCTATTATGCAATCACATTTATATACACTCTACAAACACATAAAACAGAACAACACTTTTAAAAAATAAAATTGTAATATGCTATAGATGTTTGATTTTCAGCATATGATTTAGGATTTTTTCTGGTTCTAATATGGCAAGCCCTGCCTCCCAAAAGGATTGCTTCTGGAGGCAAGAGGAGGGACTTCTGGTGACAAAGGTCAAGGGTTAGCATGGGACTTCTAGTCCCAAGATGGCAACCAGGGGATGGGGCACCTGTCAAGGGATGGAGGTGCCTTTCGACCCTCAACAACTCACCGGAAGTCACTGAGCAGCCCTTTAGCTGAAATAAATGCACCCCCTGTATTACTCTTATCATATATCAAGTATTAGGTTACATGGTACAGAAAGGATAAAACATTAGAGCACCTGCTCTCAGAGTCCATCATTTGCTGATAAGCATCTGTGGGGAAGTACAAATATGGGAAACAGTGCATCTCTCTGGGTTCAGGTGGCCTTTTATGTTTCTTTTTATTTCTATTATCCATAACCTGACATTTCTTGACTTGCCACTAACCCAGATTAGCTCTCAAAATAGATCTCTTAAGGCATGCTTACCTAAGTGACAATCATATAACCAACATAACTATAATGTTTTGCTCTTATGCACAGATAGGATTCCATGAAGCTTGCCCTTAAAGTCCCACCATTTTGGTTGCAGAAAAGCCATGACTAGCAGTTGTTTGACCTTTTTGCCAAACAGTCCAGAAGCTTAAGCACTTGCCCAGGGAGCAGGAAACCCAGATGTTCTGTCCCTCCCCCCAGTATACTCCCAGACAGGGTCTGAATCTGCATCTCTTGCTTCCCAGCAATGTACCCTAAACAACAGATTACAGGATGCCACAACATTGCCCAGAAGGAGACCAAGCCAGAAGAAGGGTGGCTCATCAGGTGACTGTTGCCCTGGAAAAGAAGCAGCCCTAGGATCTGACCCTAAATGGGGCATAAACAGCAACATTTTATCCACAGCACTCTCTAGCCCACTTCCTGAGGTTGGCCCACTAGGCAGGCAGAAGGGAGGACATGTAGGACCAAGAGAAAGAGAAAGTCAGAGGCAGGTTGGCTCAGATGCTGTGCTGGCAAGAAAAGGATCCTGGGTTCTACCCTGGGACCCTGCTGCCAGTAAGGCAGAAATTATTCCAATACTATTTATCCATTTATCCAATGACTGCAAGGTGCAATGAGCCAGTTTCAATACAAGGGCTGGAGAATACTTGGTTATGGCTTAGTACTTAGAGCACTTTGGTGAGATACCCAGAGGGGTATCAAGTGAAGCTGCATCTCTGGCAAGAGGGGGGCTAGAACCTGGGTTTCCCACTCTCTAGGCCAGTCCTCTAACCACTAGGCTATTCAGCAAAAGAAAACTGGAAGGCTTTTTTCTCCTCCACCACCACTACTTTATTTCCAAAAAGTACACACACAGGTTCAACCTACTCTACCACAGATAGAAAATTGCTACTGCAAGGTGTGTAAGGATACTAAGGTGTGTGAGGATGAAACAAGATTTATCCCTTAGTGTTTGTTAACTGCTAAGGCCAACAGGTCTTGTATATTATTCTACTGATCTCTGTAGGCTGGAGCTTCTATTGCAGCCTCATCACTGGGAGACAGGAAGATTTCTTCAAATTTCACATGTCCCCTCTTTCCCTCTCTCCAGGAGTACATTATTGTACTTGGTGAAGGGAAGAGGATTGGCATTGACTTTAAAAGTTGGAATAGTTATAATAAAAACCTGAAGAAATGTATAAATACAACCACATTGTTTAATAAGTATAATTATAAGGTATACAACCTACTGGCATCAGAACTTACTGTGATTTTTCATCTGTTTCTTGCAAAGGACCTTTCCAAAAGTCAGCATCTGAAGGACCATCTTGTTCATCACTGTTGTCTAGATCTATTAAACATTTTAAAAATATTTTAAGAAAACTAAATTTTCAAAGAACTTTTTAATCCAATTTTACATTGTGCCACTAGAAAATGTATGCGAAACAAAATATAAACACAATTAATATAAAAAACTATTTGCAGCGCACGTGTACAGTTTCCCAGTAGATGACAACAGCATGCCTACCTCAAAAATTAAATACATGAAGAACAAAAGAACTTATTTCCTACATTATTAAATTCAACATTCATTATTCAAGATAACCGAACCCTTTTTTGATGTTTTTCATGTAAGTTTTCAGGGCTCAATTTCCTTCTTGCATATTTCTTGGACCAGCATGGCTACCATACTCCAAGCCTAACACTGTAGGCTTTGTCAGTTTAATTATCTCGTGTTCTATAAATATTAAAGCTAGGGCTGCACTGATAATGATTTTCTTGGCTGATACCAATAGCCGATTATTAACCAGCCATATCAGCTGATACTGATCCGATAGCCGATTTACAGGAAAGCAGCCCAGCGGCTTGGAGTGCAGCATCCTGCCAGTAAGTCTGTAGGGGTGGGGGTGCAGATAGAGGCCCCCACAGTGAGGGAGGAAGTAGGGCAGGGCAGGCACTGCCCAACCAGGGCAATAAATGCAACCCCAGGGCCAGGAGTGGGGTGGAGCCACAGGCACCTCATCCAGGGAGCACAGTGGGGAGTGGCTCCCCAACACTGCATGCACTTCTGAGGGAGACATGGGGGGCATGTGCCCCCGCCAGATTTGTATGTGGTATGACAGCAGGCTGCCCACTGTGGGCTCAGAGCCAGGGGCTGTGCCAGCCTCTTCCCAGCAGGGGGGCTGAGCCAGAGCTCCTCTCAGAGTGGGTGGGACCAGTGCAGGACAGATACAGCTGTGTGGGGCGGGCAGTGGCAGCACTGAGAGAAGTGACTACAGGGGAGGCTACAGGAAATTTTAAGATGGCTGTAGTCCCCTAAGCTCTCCCCTAGCACCACCCCTGTTCAGGGCATTCTGCTTTACTGCCTTTTTCTCAGGAGCCTCGCACTGAAGCAGGGGGGTCCCAAAGGGAAGGCAGCAGAGCAGAGTGCCCCGAGCAGGGGCAACACTGGGGAGGGCCTGGGGGGGCTATAGCTACCCCAAAAATGCCCCACAGTCACTCCTCCCAGCGTTGCCAACACTGCCTACCTTGCACAGTTGAGCCTGTCCCGCCCCCGTCTGCTCCAACAGCAGCCCTGGCCCAGCCCCCCTGCTAGGAAGAGGCTGGCACAGCCCTTGGCCCCAAGCCCACAGCAGGCAGCCCGCCCTTATACAAACACACAAATCCAGGGAGGCCCATGCCTCCCCCGGGGGTGCACACAGCAACAGGGAGCTGCCCCCCCTCCCACCTTGAGCAAGCCACCCATGGCTCCATTCCACTCCCAGGCCTGGTGTAGTGTTCACCACCCTGACTTAGCAGTGCCTGCCCCACTCCCTCCCTCAGAATGGGAGCCTCGATTTGGGCCCCCCCCTCACTTCCCCCCACAGACTTGCCAGCAGGACTCTGCTCTCCAAGCTGTCAGGCTGCATGCATGCTGCAGCTGCATGCATGCACATAGCATTTATCAGTGACATTATTGGCTGCACCTGCCAAAAAAAGCCAATGGCTGATCATGTTAATTTTTCTTTTACCAGTGCCAATTTGATATGTGACCAATATATTGGTGCACCTCTCATTAAAGCAGCCTTACCTGTCCCTTTCTACAATAAATGGAAGTATTTGCCGAAGTCTACTACTTTATTTCCAGCAGGTATATAAAGAATATACAATACTGCACAGAAACAATGCCGTATCATTATTCATTGATCTCCATCCTAAGGACAGCAACACAGATACAGCAAAAGTATTTGACAAGCTAGATGCCTGACAACCAGGACTGTTACTTCAAGATTAGCTATTTAAGAAAAACATTACTGCTCTGACATGGCATTATGGACTCTGCTCCACAAAACTGATCCTTGTGTCAACAGCTGTGTCATTCTGTTCCTAAAATTAAACAAAGTAATACTGCACCTAGTCTGCACTGGTGCACACAGCCTCATAAGAGGAGAGGGATAATTATAATTGTCTAATTATTTAAAAAACAAAGATATGATACATAAAAAAGTCAAGCACACTGGCAAATGCATCAAGACCCTCAATCTGTTTTACTCCCGATGTAGAGACCAATGTAGGTATCTAGAGTTACTGTATTGGGATGATAAAAAAAAGGAATCAAATCTTGCATTTTTATTTAAGTGCTGATTTATATTAACTGAGTAAAAACTGTAATATTGTAGAGAAAATTACCTTGGCTTACATGCACCTACAGTTTTACAATTTAAAGCTCAAAATATAATAATACTCAGTGAGTGCATCTATATGAGATGTGTTAATGCGCATTAGCTTAACTTAATGAGCATTACGGGCACGCGTCTATATGTGCATGCCCTTAATATGCATTAAAATGGTGAAATTAGGCTAATTGTACATTTAATTAAAGCACATTAATGCCCAGTCCCTGCACATATACTTGCCAAAAATCATTTAATGTGCATTAGCTTAATAAACATTAAATTTAGTTGAACTTAAATGAACGTATAGACATGGTCAGTAATTACAATCAGACCCCTATAGGGGTGGAAGGAAGATTAGAGTTCTTAAACCAAAACTTTCATCTAGCATACTTAGGAAAGAGACCCCTATGGTTCTCTCCTGGCATCACCAGGTGCAGCCTAAAATCTGACACTGAGGAGCAAGGGAACAACTTCAGGACTCATTGGGTACATCTACGTGTGAAATTAATGTGAAGTAATAAACTCCAGAGCAGTTTGAGCTAGAGTAAGCTGCTCCTAGAAGCAGTGTTTACACATGCACTTGGGACAGTAGCAGTTTAAGCTGAGGCAACGGAGGTTGTAGGCTGGCAGTCTGACCGGCTGTCATTTACACCCATGGTCAGCATTTACACATGCATTTCAGTGCAGTAAATTACTCCACCATGTGATAGTACACTCTTACAGCAGAGTTAATTAGTTCGCTGCACCCTAATACTGGCGCATGTGTGGACTGTGATGCTGTGCTATGGAGCCAATTAGTTTCCTCCACAATAAAGCAGATGTGTAGAAGCACCCACTGTGTCTAGCAGAGTAATAAAAAGTATGGAGAACACCCAAAATCTTATATTAAAAAAGATTAGGTAAATAGGAGGTATCAGTCTTTTCCAAATACGCTGCAGCAAGAAATTAGGAGACCTAGAGGGCAACATTCCTTTAGCAAAAACAGCTTTTGGGCAGCAGAATTAGTGGCGTGCACCACTGCCAAAATAGGCACTAAGACCTCTCTTCTTTGTACCAGAAGGCTCTCTGAAATAGATCAGGTACAAACTATATTGGACTTTGGTTTAACCTTAGAACATATTGAGCAAGTCATGTCCTTACACAGTTCTCTTATCTATTTTGTGTAGCTATAGTACATACTTTTAAATTTCTGAGAATTCTACTAGTGTATTCTTAATAGTACAGTATTACTACTATTCTACTATTACTAGAAGTACAGTGTTACTACTATAAGATAGTATGTGCATGTATATATAAACAAAACTCCCATAGTCAATAGTGTAATATTTCTTTTCATTTTTCTACTCTTTCTTCCATAAAATTAACTATGATTTTACACATATTTTAATTCTATTGTATTTCCCTCACAGATTTCACATTTTTCCTTTCTGTAAATTACAATAGGGTTCCAGTTTTGAAATCTCACTAAGTTTACGATTGATCCTTCCTGTACATTTAAATGTCACCTTTTTGTCATAAGTCTCAGATGTCTGTTTTCACACAATATTTTTCATGTCACTGTAAGCAGACTGTAATTGCTGATGAATTAAATTTAAACCAAGGACAAATCAACTGTTATTTAAAAAAATCAGAAAGCCATATAAAAACATTTACCTTCATCACAATGATCTGAATCTCCTGAGGAAACTTGATCTGAAAAGAAAAAGGCATTTGCAAATAATTTGCCTTTTCTGTAGGTGTTTAAAATATTTTACAAGGATATATTTATGACCACATAAATATAAATTATTCACGTGTGGACACAAACAGAGTAATAAAGCAAACACTGAAGTAAAGAAGTATTTTTCTACAAGAGTACAAGGGTCATCAGTTTAAAGCAAAGCAGGTTATCCTGAGATCTGTGATGTCAATAGGGTTATCCAACATTATCAAAACTTGCAACCACAAACCTGAAGAGATTGATCATTTCAGCATTCTTTCAGGTATACAGGGTTATGTCCCCATTCTTTGACAGCTCTTCCTCCAAAACACTAAAGGGTACTGGACATTTTCCCCTTTTACGTTTCCTAATACAATCCAGTTAACAAAGCAGTGAAATCCAGGTATATACAAGTACTCCAGTTAAGATCCAGCTAAACATACAACTATATTTGTATTAAATATTTCAAGAATATAAATAGTTTTAAACTTTATTTTACCGTTATGTCTCTTTCTCTTTAACTTGTGTTTTTCTGTATGTGATAATCTAGACTTCTTACTATTTGGTTCTTTAGAGTCTTGTTCATGTCTTTCTCTCTTCTTGTTTGGTTTGACTTCTCTCCTCCTTTATAATAAAAATAAAAACAGAAGTGTATTTCTTCCCCAATAGTAAATATATCAGAAATCAAACCCAGTGAAGCAGTTTATACTCTTTTCAAAATCTATTGTTTTTTGTTTTTACAAATTAGAATAGTAAAAACTGTGCATATTGAATGCAGTGTTACTGCAACAGCAAGACTTTATTTATTTTACACCAAAAGGCAAAAAAAAAAGCAAGGCTAAAATTTCCTGAAGAACCCTGATGCATCCTCATTGCAGTTTTTACAAATATCTCAGGTGTGCCATGTGACCAACATAATATTTCTACTGAATACATATATATTACAATATACAATCATAAACTATACTTTCCTTTATTTAAAAAAAATAGAAATTAAAATATGAAAAGAGTGCCAATAAGCATAACTGATTTCAGGAAAAACGTATTTTGCAATTCTCTATATTAAAAATACTAATGAGGAGAAGAACAATATTATGAGATCTGAGAGAACCATGTCCTATTGCCAGCTCTGCCAAAGACTCCCAACATGACCATGGTCAAAGCACTTGAGGTCTGTCTACATGTGGACCGAATTAAAATTAATCCAAATTAACCAAGAGGGTGGACAGAAGTAACTACCGAAATGTTTCCAAGAGTAACAGGTTTGGAAATGCTGCAGACGGGTAGTATTTCAGTCAGGGGACATAGGCACAGCCCCTGTCATACCCAGAGCTGAAGTGATACCAAATCACTCTGGCTGCATGGAATTGCTTCCCCTCCTGCCAGAGGACTACAGAAGGCTGTAGGAAACTGGATATGCAACCAGCCCCCTCCCTCCTAGACTGACAGCCAAGTGGACTGTCAGTGCCACTCCACTCCCATGTTAAGCAGAGTACTCAACTTGCCCCACCAGAACTGAAGAGGTATGATGGGTGAGGGGTGGAGAGTCAGAATTCCAGCTCCAGTGGCAGTGGGGAGTTTGCCAGAAAGGGCAAGCAAGGGTTTGGCACAGGACTCTAGAAGGAGGTCTGAAAAGGGCAACAGAGGTGCCCCTCTGCCAGGATAGCCAGCTCTAAGCCTCCCAATTTCCAACCTCTCCTCTTTCTCCTCTCCCCAAAGGAGAGGTGGAAGGGAAGTGGGGCTGGAGTAGTCAGAGTGAAGGGAGTGCTCCATTACCTGGGAACTCCAACAGGGGGCTGGCAAGGGAGTGTGGGGTTCGTGGTGAGAATGTGGAGGTTCCCCAGCCACCGGCAACCAGGATTCTGACTCTTCAAACCCAGATCCCCTGAAACGAGCCTCCCCACCCCTTGAAAGAGTGAAAAAGCAGAAAAGACTACAAGGAGAGGCTAGCACTGGCAACGGCAGGGTGCCCATGAATGGGACCCACCACCTGGACTACCTGGCAGGCTGTCAATCCACCTGTTAGACTGTCTACCCCCTTCTGGTTCCCCTGTTGCGGTATATAAAACGACCATCTAAAAAGGGTTCAGTGTGTCTGTCTGTCTGTAATGCTTTTGGGCAACTGCATATGTGCTACCAAGAGGGCCGGCGGTGACTGACTGCATGGGCTCTGCCTTCTCAGGCAGGGAGGGAAACTGCTGCTGCCTCAGGCAGGGAGGCAGGAACCCTGCTGCTCCAGGGAAGGAGGTGGAGGTGGGCAGCAGGGAGGGAGCCACTGCCGCCACCTGTGCAGGAGGAGGTGGAGGCAGATGGGGGAGAAGGAGCCACTGCCTCAGACAGGGAGATGGAGGAAGCCCCGCCGCTCCAAGGGAGCTGCCACCTCCATCTCAGGCAGAGGGAAACCCTGCTGCTCTGCAGGAGGCAGAGGCAGGCAGGGGGGAGGGAGCCTTTGCGCTGGAGGCGGCGGTGGCAAAACTGTTTACATGGCCAGCCCCAAAGGATGACTGGGTTTGGGGGGGGGGGGGGAATGTAAACACTCCCTAAAACACTCCATCATTCGTGATGGGCAATTGGCTAGTAATATATAAAACCACAAAAAAGTAGATATGATTACAGATGTGCAATTCAATAATGTAGCAGGCAACAACAGGTCTAAACAGAACTATTCTTATATAGGGGTGCACTGATAAAGATTTTCTTGACAGATACAGACAGCCAATTATTAACCAGCCATTTTGGCCAATACCCAATTTACAGAAATGTAGCCCAGCACCTGGCAGCGTGGAGAGCAGCCTCCTGCCAGGAAGTCTGGATGGCAGAAGGGGCAGGGATGGCAGATCAAAGCCTCCATGGTGAGGGAGGGAGTGGGGCAGGGGCAGGCACTGTAAGGGGTGGCTATGGGGTGGGCTATAGCCACCCCAAATTCCCCATAGCCACCCCTCCCAGCACCACTGCCCACCCTACCCCTGCCTGCCCCGACGCACAGCCCTGGCCCAGCTCCCGCACTGGGAAAAGGCTGGAGCAGCCCCTGGCCCCAAGCCCTCAGCAGGTAGCCCTCTCTCACACCATGCACAAATCCAGGGAGTACATGTCCCCCATGCCTCCCCTAGGGGTGTGCAAAGCAACAGGGAGCTGCCCCCACTCCAACCCCCCCACAACTCCATCCCACTCCTGGCGGGGTCGCAATCACCCCCTTGGCTGGGCAGCATCTACTTTTGCCCCTGCCCCACTCCCTCCTTCACCGTGGGGGCCTCAATCATTCCCACCCACATCCCCTCCCCTCCAGACTCACCAGCTAGACACTACTCTCCAAGCTGCCTCCCCCTGGCTGCATTCCTGGCCGCATGCACACGTGGCATTTATCAGTGACATTATCAGCTACACTAGCCAAAAAAAGCGCATTGCCAAAAATGTTAATTTTCCTTTTATCAGTGCCAGCCTGATGTACAACTGATATATTGGTGCACCTCTATTTTTATAATGTGCATGTATGAAAATTAATTCTTAACCATTTAATTCTTCGTTATTTTTTCGTTTCCTCCAAAAAATTACTTAGCCACTGTTCCACTGTGAGTACATAGGTAAGTCTGAAATGTCAAAGTTTGATTACTTGAGTATGTGAAGTCCCAACAATTATATTTTAGAATAAAAACAAACATTGGGTTTACACCTTGCTTATTTCAGGGGGGAAATAATTTTCATATAAACTTCCTGTAAGGAGAAATTTTTTTTCCTTTGAGCTTTCCCATGCTATATTTCATTCTAGTCTAAAAAGGCAAATTTAAGATAAATTTAAACAACCATTATAGTTGTACCTCCTATTGTGTTTTTAATTAACATATGCAAGCATAAAATACTCAGGAAATCTAAATAAGATGTTTCATAAAAATGATATTAAGGAAGTATAAAATAACATTCTAATACACATTTTTCCAAGCTGCTTACTAAACCTGTTAAATATATTTATTATTTAATCTGCATGTTTTCCAAAATCTCTATTACCTGTGATGAAAATTTAATTTGTAAGAACATTCTGGACACAGTCCTAAAAACAGAAGAGTAAAAGAAAAGAAACTTGAATATTAAAATATTGCACTTAATAAAAACAGTTAATAAGATCTATCAATGTTGCCGTCCCAATGTAATTTATAAATTCCCCTTCCAATTTCTTCCAACAGAATAATTTCAGTACAGTTAGGTGTAACTGAAGGAAAAATAGCATGAAGAACACGGAGGTTTGGAGTCCCAGTACTGGCAACTGCTCACAAAAAATAAGTAATATTTACTTTATATGGTGATTATGTAAAAATATGGTTTTCATGTGCTTTTCTGAACAGAATCAAATTAAGACAAGATTATATATTAAAATCAGACAAAACCTAAGGCCTCTCCACAGAACAAATATTACTGTGTAGATGGACACTTAGTTGAGGAAAAATGATTATTTTATGCTAAGTGTTTATTATCAAAAGTTTCTTATTGGTTGCACCTATCAATATGGTTTTAGAGGCATGTATTTGAAGTGATGATCTTATTTAAGAGATGAGGCTTGGTAGCATTAGGATTAAGCTGAGTGTTAGTAAAGACTTTGAGGAATATATCAGTATTAAAAATAAAATGTCTCCCACGCCAAAAATACCAAGAAGCTTTATTTCAGCCATAATACAATAAAAAGGAATTAAAAACTAGATAGTAAAAAGTGTTAAAACAAGCTATTTTTTTTTGACAATAATGATTTCTACAAATCAAGGCCATTATTATATTTATAATTAATCCACCAAAATGGCATCACTTCTTCCCCCTTTGCCTACCGTGGTTACCTAATTACTGTTTCTAGTCCTTCCTTTATAGTCTTTAAAGAGTAAGATATTTGCCTTTGTTTAAGTTTATATTAGAGTGAAGGCCAACCATAGTAAAGGCTGACTTACTCAATTTTACAAGTGCGTTCCTCTTTTCACCATGTTCAATATAACCAAAATTCACCTCCCAGCTCTTCAGTCCTTCTCTCTCATCACAGTGTTTATTCCCGCAGGAAAAATGACCTAAGGAGGTCAAAAAAAGCAAACCATGGTTAAATCATTAGCTCATGTGGATTTGAGGTGGTTCTTTCCAGTTCTGCTCAGTGTTAAAAAAAAAAAAGCTAGAAATTAAAGTCTAAAGTAAAGTATTAGGAGCAAGTAATACTTTTAATGACATAACAATATTTGTACCAAAAAATAAACACATTGAAAAACTTATGTATGTCTTTCATCTTTGCTGGTATTTTGGAGGACATGAAGGCATAAAACTGACAATACTGAACTTTAGAAAAGTTTCCAGTCAGGGTGCATACAGATGTTTTGGGAGGTCAGATCATGTTTAAAATGGCCACCCTAACTTAATTCACCCAGGTGCCAACCTTGCACTTAGATCCCTAGTTAGGTCAATCTAAGTGAAACCTATGTAGAAATTCAAAAGTTAGATAGGTCCAAAAATAGCCAACCTGATCTAAGTTAAACCTAACTCCATAGTGGTCTAATTTCGACTGGGTTGGACCTTTTTATACCAATCTGTCCTGAACTTCTGTACAATTCTCAGTACATCCCCAGGGTTAGGAAAGCTCACATATAAGTTGAGATGGGGGAGGAGGGGCAAGCAGGATAAGATAAGGAGGTAGGTTCACTAAGTTGGATTGTTTGTCTGAGAACAAGAGGGGATGGGGAGCTAAAAAGGGAGCCCCCCCTATCCCCTCCTCGATCTGTAACCCCCACTCCCATGGATCCTGTCTGCCCAAGGACTCCTTGTCCCATAATCCCCCTTGTGGATCCCATCTGCCCCCCAATCCTCCCCAGCAGACCTTGCCTGCCCCCCCAATCCTCCCTAGA